GTTAAAACACAGATGATTCAATTATCCACAAAAACTGATATCCCAAAAATACTATATCATTCACACTGTAATAATAAACTGGAAAATCTGATGGGATTTTCAGCTCACTGAACTAACCTGACAAGAATCTTTTTTTCCTTCTTTATAACCAGCACACATTTGTCCGCTTTGAAAAATCACCATCTTTCCTGCTGTATGATACATATTTTGGCACTCTTTGTAGTCTATTACCGGCACATGAACCTTTTGTAGTGTATCTGCACGTTTTCCCCCTAGTTCAAAAACGTAGTTGTATCGATTTGCTCTAACTTATGTTTACTTATATATCACATCCAAAGTTACACTTCTCGAATAATGTAAATACATTTTTTATCCAACACAACAACCAACTTTAAACTCAAGAGAAGTAAATAAAATAAACCAAATATTAGAGTTTCAGCTCAAAAGAAGTATCCCGTTGTTCATGATTGTCGTTGTTGTTTCTAGCCCACTAATTATATAACTAGCTGCCTCTGCCAACTGAAAGGAATTTAATACCGGATTTTGGTATTTTAAGTCCGTAGACCCATTGGGAAAGGACACTGAGTATGAAGAAGAGCTCTTGTCTCTTGCCCTTGTCACTCATCTTATCTGCTACAATTTTAAATGACATTAATACATAATTACTGAAAATTTCTTATTTATCTACTAGAATGCTTTGATTAGCAGAAGTCCCTCTACAAATCCACTTTATCAGCATAGAAGTCCTTATACTAATCCACTTTATCAGCATAGAAGTCAGTCTATTGATCCACTTTATAAATATAGAAGTCAGTCTATAGATCCACTTTATAAATATAGAAGTCAGTCTATTGATCCACTTTATAAATATAGAAGTCAATAAATATAGAAGTCAGTCTATTGATCCACTTTATAAATATAGAAGTCAGTCTATTGATCCACTTTATATATATATAGAAGTCAGTCTATTGATCCACTTTATAAATATAGAAGTCAGTCTATTGATCCACTTTATAAATATAGAAGTCAGTCTATTGATCTACTTTATAAATATAGAAGTCAGTCTATTGATCCACTTTATATATATAGAAATATCTCTATTGATCTACTTTATTAATATATATAAATCAATCTATGGACCCACTTTATATATATAGAAGTATTTCTATTGATCTACTTTATTAATATATATATAAGTCAATCTATTGATCCACTTTATAAATATATAAGTCAATCTATTGATCCACTTTATAAATATAGAAGTCAATCTATTGAAATGCTCTTGGAATTATGGTGTTCCAGTACATTCCATTTTCTTTGGCTAAATATGTATTAAATGTCTATTGATCTACTTTATTAATATATAAGTCCTTTTATTGATCTACTTTATTAATATATAAGTCCTTTTATTGATCTACTTTATTAATATATAAGTCCTTCTATTGATCTACTTTATCAATATAGAAGTCAGTCTATTGATCCACTTTATATATATAAAAATATTTCTATTGATCCACTTTATATATATAAAAGTATTTCTATTGATCCACTTTATAAATATAGAAGTCAGTCTATTGATCTACTTTATTAATATATAAGTCCTTCTATTGATCCACTTTATAAATATAGAAGTCAGTCTATTGATCCACTTTATAAATATAGAAGTCAGTCTATTGATCTACTTTATTAATATATAAGTCCTTCTATTGATCTACTTTATCAATATAGAAGTCAGTCTATTGATCCACTTTATATATATAGAAGTCAGTCTATTGATCCACTTTGTCAATATAGAAATCATAGTCATCTATTTATCGTACTTTTATTTAAAAACATTTATATATTTATGACTATTTTCAAGTACTGAGAATGTAGGCAATTACATGAGAAAAATATTTTAATTACAATGAAAAATAATCTTTTAAGATTTAAAATATATATATATATATATATAATGTGTTTTCATATATTAATTGTGTGTGTTCGCAACAGTACTTTATTGAAATGCTCTTGGAATTATGGTGTTCCAGTACATTCTATTTTCTTTGGCTAAATATGTATTAAATGTGTTATTTCAGCATCTTTTAATGAAAATTTAGTTCAGTTTACAAATTGAGAGTTTACAAATTTTGTATATGTAACTGCTATATTTATCCCGTAATTTTGAGATATGTATGTTTAATCTTTGTAATATTTAATGATTTATACGTTGTGTAATACAGTAATGTGTTATAAAAAATTTAGTCGGACACAGCGAACGAACCTTTAAAGTCTAACTTAAGACTGCCTGTGATGTCAGAGGTTCGTGACCACTGAGTGGCCTGAATTTAGAAAGTAAGAACTAAATAATTTCCGGAAGGGATGATGAAACAAGTTAAATTGAAATTCTTATTCGGAAGAACTGCGGATAGTCTTGTTCAACAAAACAATGTTAATTATAAGTTGAAACAGTGTTTAAAGAAACGGCTTTTGTAGCTTTGAGTGAGATTTCATAAACAAATAGATATATAGATATTTTTGTTGCCTTTGGACTTGTAATACTCCTGATTGACCACTGGTTTTTTAAACGATATAATGATTACACTGAGCAAAAGAAGTTAACTAGCTATCCCAGAAGATAAAGTGCATGTGTGTGTGCAAGCAAGAGATAAATCGTGTTTTCTGTGTTACCTTTATGTTTCCATGTGTACTTACATACATATAAATTATGGGTTTTGATTTTATTCTTTTAATTGATTTTCTTGTTACTCAGTGTTTGTGATGTTTCTTGTTTTACAGAAGCCTTTGAATTATCTGATTTTTATGTTTGTTTGTAATTAAGCACAAAGCTACACAATGGGCTATCTGTGCTCTGCCCACCACGGGGGGCATGATTTTTATGTTTTCTTTGTGTAAGTTCTACTTTGTTTCCGCGTTTTTCGTAATCAAACTTTTAGTTTTTCTTTTATTTCGACTTATTTAATTCTCACTATTTAAATTTTTACAGGTTACAAATTCATGGATGTTCTAAATGCGTTTTATTTGTCTAAACAGAACTAAGAATATACCGTCATACTTGTAAACTTTCGTCACTTAAATTAAACTCAGTGTTTTGTGAAAGGGTTACTTTGACTAACCATCAGTTCATTGGCACAATATGAAATGAGACAATTTACAAGTTCAATAATAAATACTTAACTTGATCTTATTCAAATATCTAAATATTCTGTTACTTTTCAATTCAGGCACAAGTAAATCTGTTTTCTACACGAAAAATAAAGATCCCTTACAGTTTCAGTGACAAAAATAGTGTATAACTGCATTGTACACATTAACCTAAGTTAATTCCTAGGAATAACTTCACTTTATATTTGTGGTTTTCGCTGCCTGTGTTCTTTTGAAAAATGAAATAAATCTGGTCAAAACGCTGTTTTCGGGTCGAATTAAATAGTGTATTATTTTCATATTTTTGAGAGTTTTAGCTTAGATGCCTAAATTGTTCAAATCTGGAATAGGTTTTAAAAATGCAAACAAAAAATAAAACTATTGGGCAAATAAATAATTTCGTCGACAAAGTCTTTGTTGTGGGGTTAAAATAGTAACTTTAAAAACAAGAAGTGATGAAGAGAGACTGGATCACAAGACAAAAACTAAATATTTAACGAAACTTGTTAAAATATGACGAAGATAATATTCTCATGTCCATTATAAATCCATTTTACCAAGTATCCCATGTATAAATTTTAGAATTAAAGTTTATATGAACTAAGTATGTGTATGGTACGAAATATACATACATAGCAGCAATTAAGAATTTATACTGTGTATACAGCTTACTTAGACTGTTATTGAAGTAAATATTACAACTCAGTCTTTATGGACAAAAATTAGCCCCGTCAGCATAATCAATTAATAGATAAGAAGTGAGCCTACGGAACTCACCTTTGTCAGGCTCATTCAGCCAACCCCAGCCAGTTACAGTCACTTGTTGGTCTTTATATGAACTGGACTCCTCTGGTAATGGTAAACAAGCTGGCCAAGCATAATCATTGAACTTTATATCCTCTGTTAGCTCTAATAAGGCAATGTCGTTAAAGTATCGTTTTGGTTCAGAATAACGGGGGTGAATAATTTTTTGTTTGACAGGAATATCTTGCGTTGGGTGGTCTTCGTCTTGGGACAGCCGATATTCTCCCACTCGCACTACGAAACGACTAGCAGAATACCTACAAAAGATTTTGTGAAAAAAAGGGTACAATTGTACTTACGAGGAAGTATATAAGGCAATTTAAAATAAATATTACACTGTGTTTCTTTATTAACAACAATCTGTAGGCCAGATCACACTTCCTTTTGATATTATTACTTCAACTTAACTCTTCAAGACTGTAAAATAACACTACACTATTTAAGATAACGAATTTTTAATGAAAACAAATCTGACAAATGGTACTCCAAGTGTCTTTCTTAAATAAAGTCGTAATTCGATACACTGAAGAATTAAAAATCCAAGATTTAATAACATATAAATTCCGTCTACATAACTTACTCGCACCGTGCTGTTTATTAGTTAAAGTCTCTAATGAGAGAATGTCATACTTACTTGCTGACACAATGACCTGCCGTTAAAACCCAACGGCTGGCAAGGATAGTGCCTCCACAGAAATGTTGTCCACTCAGTCTGATAGATACCTAGACACACAAAGTTATGTATTTTTGTTTACTGGATTTATGAATTCATTCCTAACACATGTTTTAAATCGTTGTTATCATTAGATAATTCTATTTTCAAGCTATAATAAATAGCTCGTTTCTTATTGGTTTGATGAACTAGTATTAATAGCAATGCTTATTTTGTAATAATACAAATACACAACATCTACAGTCAAATTAATTTCTTACTACTTTCAACGTTTTTTTCTTGGAATTTGTAGGATATACTTTAAAAGCCGTAAAGTACTACGAATTAAATTTAAAAGCTCCACAACATTAATGCTCAAAATCGAGCACACAAATATAATATCAGATATGAATTGTTACCCATAAAGTATCAAAACTGTAAGTTTGTTCCTTGAGTTACAAAATGTACTTACAGAATAATTATCCACCCCTCTCGATCTGATTCCATAGTTACCAGTAATTTTCTTAACCTACTGAGACTTGGAATAATGTCACCCGCTATTGAAATCGGTTCCGTTTTTACTTAAATTCCTTTATATAATGAAATTGAAAGAGTTGCGGGGAAAATGTGTTTTAAAAGTTGGATGTTCTACATTAGTTTATGTACATGAGAAGAACACATATTTCTAGGACATTTTAATAACAATGCCATGTCTTGGATTGAAATTAACAGATAAATGAGCAAATTTAAATGTGTGTATTTCTTTTATTCATTTTACCAAGAAAATAAAGACATGTGACGTTATCAAGTGAGTTTTCCTATTTAAATACATAAAAAAGCACTTTCGATCAAATATTAGACGAATCAATAAATAAGAAACTGATTATCTGAATGCTTTCAGAAGGCAAATCTTCCTTTTTCAGGGACAAAAAAGGTAGGCCTAATTTGTAAAAGCATTCAGGTTATTGAGTTCCTTATTTATTGATTTTCCTATTTCTATTTATAAATATACATACTAAAGAAGGGAACTCTCCATCGTGAGCATCTTCACCCCCAACAATTCGGCCACTTCGTACCATTTGTTTCCCACAGGAGATATGGACGGCTTGAAAAATAAAGTGGCAATTATTATAAGTTAAAAGTATATAACAAATTTAAATGAAAATGCAATTTAAAATAAAAACTTGTTATATTTTCCTACTTCTTGTGCGAATAGTAGAAAAGATAATGACTATAAATACCTGGCAAACAGTTATGTTTGTTGTTTTCGTACTGGGAAAAATATTTCAATGTCAGATATTATAAAGTAATACGTATGTACGTATGTTATACCCTTTAGTGTGCAATTAATATTCGTATTCCAAAGCTATCGCAAGATAAGACTATTTTTAGAAAATTAATTGAGAGAATTTTTTTATGTTTTTTTTTTTTTTTTAAATAAGTGATCTGGAAGAAAGTGGGATGAAAATAAAAGTGGAGAAATTACTGTGATTTGAAAAAGTTATATTTTATGTTTAAAATTTACAGACGATAAAATTATAGTGGTAAATGTTAAAGAAAGATTGAAAGAGATTATTGACAAATCAATAAGTTATATAGATAAAAGCAAGTTAATATTGGATCTAAGTAAACTGAAGATTATGGTAAATGAGAAATGGAAATACAAGAATCAATTAATAGAGGTTATACATATATATATTTGGGATTCTGGTTTACAAGAAACAGATAAGACAGTAATATGCAGAGTGCACAGCAAACTTTAAATATAGCTTGGAGTGAAAGAAACAGAAGTGGAATGAATGGCATTAAGCAGACAATTCAGCTCTCTGTTAGTTGGATCAGAGGTAATATATGGGGTAGAAAGAAATATGGGAATAGGGTAAATAAGAGATCTTGCAAAGAAACTAGATGAAATGAATTTTAGAAATAGATTGAATTATATATGACACTTAAAATTGAATATCGGAATAAAAGGCATGAAAAGAATTTGGGGATATGTTTCGGAAGTAATAAAAATAAAGAAAAAAAATGGCCCAAAATGTTTAAAGATATAATAAGGGGAGTTGGAAATAACAGGAAGAATAAACAGAGGATGGTGATGAGAAGGGAACTGAAAGTTGTTTAAAGTACAGGTATTAATAAAAATGATTTAAGAGTAAATAGATATAATAGCTATGTAGAAAAATGTAGAAGGTATAGCGAGGATAAAGAGAAAACAAAATATCCAGAATAGTTGAAGTGCAGTAAAATAATCTATTTATTGTAAGCATTATAAAAATATATAAAGAAGAAATTGGAGGGATGCATTATTTGGGAGAACGAAAAAAGAAAATGTAGTAAATTATGCATCAGATTAAGATACGGAAGCATTCATGGAATCAATAATGTCGGAAATGCAGAAGGTGTAAGAAAAACAAGAGAAAATCGAATATACATGGGAGTGTGAAGAGATGCAAAAGACAAGAAAGAAAAAATATGAATGGACTGAATAGAAAAAAAGCAGGAAGGAAATATATGGATTTGTAAAATGAAGGAAAAACAAACAAATAATATGCAAGTGTATTAAATAATTTGTAAAAGCAGATTAGAAGAATTAAACCGTAATAAATAAATAAATAGACAATAAAAATTGTAAATAATGGTATTAAATTAGATAGAAAATTTATGTAAAGACCACAAAAAATTAATAATGCTTGTTTGTTTATTTTTGCACACAAAGCTACACAATGGGCTATTTGTATTCTGCTAACTACGGGTATCTAAACCAGATTTTTAGTTTTATAAGCACTCAAAGTACCACTGAGTCACCGGATGGCTAATATTAATATAATGTAGAAAATTATGTATCTCCTTCTAAAGAGAAAATTACCTGAAAAACAAGTTACATAAAAACAAATTCTCTATTTAATTCAAAGCTTATTTAAATGTGTTTTTTGTTTTTGTTTCAAATAATCTACATTTCCTAAAGAAACATGTCAATAGAATTACTCTACTAAACTACCAGAACAGATATGAAATGTGTAACAAATCATTGTAATAATGCAAGAAATCTTACAATTGCGCATTTGAATAATTGTATAGAAACTAAACATTCATAAATAAAAAACAGCAATCTATTACATGACAATTTATTACGCCTAATTTAAAAATTTTCAAATGCATTAAAAGTTAACATAAATAACCAATTATTGATAATGTGCCAAAAAGCTTTTTAAATAACATCAGTGACGTGTATTCAGATCAAAGAAGCGCATTAATGTCAAAATATTATATATAGCATGCAAGAGTTGAACACGGAGTTAATATCCTCTAAAATATAAATTATTAGTTTCATTTCAAAGTTTAGAGTGATGGAGAGTTTTTTACTTTGTTATTTAGGCGTAAAATTACAAATCGGATATCTGTTTTTTGTTGACCTCGAGGAATCGAACCTCAACTTTTAGCATTATAAGTCCGTAAACTTACCACTAACCCATTTTGGAAATGAACAAGCATAAAAATTATAGCGTTTACCTCCATTACATGGGAACTTTACAGTATATTTCGTGTGAAAATTAAAAGCGTTGTATGCCGCAACCCTAAACAAACTATAACACAAATTTTCAAATACATAGCACAATTTATTATGTAAGCATCTATTATAATACACGTTGTTAAATACAAATATTCACATCTTAATTACGGTTGATTGAGGATGTTAAGTACATAATCAAAAACTAAATATCATTTTGTAAACTTGTAAAAAGTAGATGGGCAACAGTTACATTACCTACCTGCCGATTGTGCTGGTGAAATGATGATTGAGAGAAGGACCCAGAGTAATAACACGCAGCAGCCTACCTTACTTAGGTGCATCATTTTTAGTTTGATGATGACCACGTGCACAAAACAACTAAATAGTGTAACGTGCTGGCAGTGCGTGCTGAATTGTGTTGGAAGGCCTATGTTCAGGCTGGAACTGACGACATACCACTGACTGGGTCCCACTATTTAAACCCTGTGGGCTTGCGGGTCGAAATGTGGGTTACAACTCACAGTGGACAGTGAGGATCAATGATGCCCGCATTGCCCCACTGCACTAGATAACTTGACCCCAGTCGGGAAGAATTAATAGAAGTGAAATGATGAAGCAAGAGGACATCCCACCACGCCCTCAAAACTTTCACTGACGCGCTTATAGTTACATCATTGTTGCAATGACGGCTGCACGGTAAACTGGTCGAAAAGTGTTGTAACTTCTAATTAAGTGGGTCATTCGAGATTAAGCCGCGTACGCTGGCAAGTATTGTTTTCTAGCTTGAAATATACAAAAATATATATTAACATGGTATTTATTTCATAAACAATTGTTATAACAAGCATATAGATAACAAATCGGGTGAAATAAATACGTGAAGACTGATGTTCCTTTTTACAGATCAACTAAGTGAGAAAGAAAAAGAACAGAAAAAGAGACAAATGTCACAAAAAAGATGCAGATTATGTTTTTAAATTAACTGTTATATAAATGTCATTTAAGGATTCTTATCAAATTTGTCGCCATCTGACCAACAAAAATTTAATACATATAATAATTTTTGTGTCAATTTAACTTAATATAACAGACAGAAAATTATAACTCGTTGCTAATTACATGGGTTATCCAAAATGGCATTTTATTACATGAGTAATCTAAAATGGTATTTATGATTACAAAGAAAGCTTGTTTAACAAACGATGTTACTGCGATATCGGTCCCTTATTACAAAACTGCTTAACTATGTTGACATAATAATTTCACGAGTTCTTTCACTAGTAGCTCTTCTTGTTATAGACAGGCTCGCCGACTGGGGGGGCAAAGGGGGCAACTGCCCAGCGACCTGGGCGAATGAAACCTGGTTATGCCGTAAAGCCCGCAAAGCATCTTTAGCCTATATCTTCATTTAATGATAAAAACCATAGTTTTTGGCTTTTCTTTACATATAGACGCTTGATACATTAAGAACGACTGAACTAATAAGTTGAGTAATAATTAATATGTATTTGTTACTTTAAAGATTTAATAGATATTTGTTGTTGCTCTATTAACGTTTTTACGCTTATACTGTGAGGTAAAAAGGGCTGCTGCTATGATTTTGTCTGGTTTATGAGCTCGTTGCTGTCTTAATTTAGGATCTTTTTATTAATAAATTCTTGAAAATGTTAAAAAAGAGAAAGAGAAAGTGGGCCCGGCGAGGAAATTTGCCCCGGGGACCGTGCTGGCTCTCGACGTTCCTGGTTACAGAGCTTGCTCTTAAGTTCTAAAACAACTCTTCTTCGGTTAAATCAAATAGACAAGCTATAATTATTTATGTGTGTGTAATATGAGGTGTACTGATAGTTATTTTTTTTATTATTAAACACAAAGCTACACAATGGGTTATCTGTGTTGTGTCCACCTTAGAGTCGCCAGTGAATCACCGAAGGGACGAACGATACACGGAAGATAATTTTTATCCTACTTATCTGTTTAAAGAATTATCTACCTCTCTATCTCCCTATCCATCTCTCTATATATATGGTCATTAAATAACAATTAAATTGCCTAAGTAAATTGTTATTGGTAACTAGTTACTTAAAATGTGTATTTTTTAGTAACCTACAGCCTCAGTAGTTGTACTTACGCTGGTTACTTTAAATTATTTTATGGTCACATTAACTGACAGTTGTTTAATGCTTTACCGCTAGCAGAGTTAGTTTTTACCACAGACAGCCTTGAAAGAGTAAGACTCGAACTGTTGTTTTTTGCGACAAGTTAGGTGAGTCGTCTATTTTATTATACTAGTTTCTTTCGCGTTACATATAAACATTAAAAAAATCAGATGCAGAAATGAGTGTCGTATACTGACTCTAGTTATGTCCAGAATAAATTAGAATATTAAAGAACGTTCACACCACCGAATTATAAAAACTATAACAGTCCCTTAAATGAATATATCTTTAAAATATCCAGCCAATGATAATAAGAAGGATATCTATTTCGTTTATTTCTGAACTCAGAAACAAAATATTGATGGAACTTCTTTCCATCAAGTCCGAATCCCTCCATCAAAGCAAATAGTAAAAGAAAAATGCTAGACAGGGACT